TGTCTGGACTCCCTTCGTTGCCTGTGGGTTGTCGACTCCTCAGTAACGCTTACTCCTTTATTTCTTCCAATGGCCACGTGCCCATCACCGTGCCTTGTCATGTGATGCCCACTACACTGCTCAGACACCGCTGAACCACTCCAAGCTGGAGTCATCTTTTTTCAGTCATGATTAGGATGGACATTATTTAGCCCGTGTTCTTTCTTTTATGAAAGATGACAACCAATCAAATTATGCTACTCCCTGCTCTAATCCCAGAAATTTCGTGTAACTCATACCCTAAAACTTGCCCTCCTGACTATGGGATACAGGCCCTATAGGATTTGTCCCTCCCCAGCTTTTGAATGTCAATACCCACGCTCTTCCTCTTGTAATTTTGCTTCACCCACATTGGCCTGCTTGCTCCTTGAACTTACAGGCATGGAGCCTTTGTGTTTTAGGCCCCTACTGCCAAGTCTGCAACCATCCAAGATCCTCTCCCAGCCACCGTCAGTCAGGTCTTAGCCCAAATCATCTGTTTGTCATTGTCTGTGACCATCCAGTTTGAAGAACCCTGGCAGTGACCACGCAAGGTCACCAGGCAATCACCTTGTTTCTTCATTACTTTTGTCCTTTATCGCCATGTGAAACTATCTTGAATTGTGGGTGGCATTGTGTCTCTCAAGTTCATAATAAAGTCCTAACACTTAGTGCCTCAGAAGGGGACTGTGTTTGGAGATAGAGCTTTTCAGGACATGATTAAGGTCCCTTTCTCATTTCTATATTTTCTGTATATATCCCTAAAAACCTCAGAAATACAGTGTGCATATGAATCAGTGTTTATTACAGAAGATGGAGGATGTTAACTTTTTTGCCAAATTATGATACTCTTGAAACTTTATTTTGTCCCTTTGTTTGGGAAAAATTAGATTCATACAATAAAAATTGTATCAGTGTTTAAAAAAAGAGGTGATTAAGGTAAATTACCCCCCCCCCCCCCCCCGAGGTGGGCCTTAATCCAATATAACTGCAGTCTTTATAAAAAAGAGATTAGGACACAGACAGATATACAGAGAAAAGACCATGTGAAGACATGTGAGAAGGCAAGTCAAGGAGACAAGCCTCAGAAGAAACCAACCGACTAACATCTTGATCTGGGACACCTGGCCTCCAGAACTAGAGAAAATAAGTTTCTGTTGTTTAAGTCACCCAATCTGTGACATTTTGTTATGATAGCCCTAGCAAACTAATACTCCTTGTTCTTTGTTTTTTTCCCTTCTCTTAATACAGTATAAGTTCCATGAAAGCAGCAACTATACCTGTCTTATTCGCCCTTCTATCTTTAGTGCCTATAACAATTCCCAGCACTTAGTAGGCTCTCCACCCCTATTTCTAACTAATTGGATGATGCAACCAGAGACCTGACCCTTTGTTGTTCAAGTTATCTTTGGCTCTGCAAATATTTTCATTATTTATTAACTTGAAAAATAACCAACCCATTGCCTAAAGAATTGATTCAAAACTTAGTCACGGGTGCCAGAGCTTAGACCTTCTCACCCTATTTTTACACAATTATGGTTCATTAATTCTCCAGTTCTTCAACACCCTCTCTTCTCAGTTCCTCTGTTTGTTTCTAGACACTTCTCTAGCCTCAGTCCTGTGTTTTCCTCCCCTGATGCCCTTTGTGCCAGGTCTGGGAAGCTGGTACCACAGGTGGTTTCCATTACCTGAACCTGCCACAAAATCCATCAGCTTCTGTGCACCAATGAGAGAAGCTGGCACCCACACAGGGAAATACTGAGTTCAGAAAGAGTTGGAGACAAAGTGCGTTCTTATACTCACCTTGCTTCTTAGCAGATGAAATGTTAACTGCTGATAGCTCTAATTGTACCAGCACTCTCGTAAGTGGGATCATTTGTTTCTCCGATGAACATTTATTGTGCCCTATTAGTACCCTCTGGGCCATAGGTGGGGCCCCAGGAATACCACCAGCCTTATGCTGCTTATTCTGTTTGCTCCCCCCAGATCGCTCTGTTCCACACGAGGGAGGCTGACTCCTGCTACCTGCATCTCTCCAGGTCCCCACTGGCGGCTTTCTGTCCGAGTTCATACAATGGGTGGCATGAGAAAGCAGAAAGAGAGAGATGTCAGGGTATTTGCTGCCACCCAGGTTTACAGCCCCCACCGGGAGGCTTCCCCAGGCTACCCACCACCCAGGGTGGCAATGGCTTCCCACTCTTGCTGATCTCTGGGTGACTTACTTTCTTGTGTTTGATCTTATGATCCTACCCATGGTTCTAAAAGTAGTTCTTCTATTGAAGTTTTTATAACTCAACCATCTGACAGTGACTTCTGTTTCTTGCCTGGACTCTGATTGATAGATTTTATATAATTTGTTTAACTTCAATATTTAGGAATGATAGAACTTTGGTGTCCTCATGCTACAGTGGCTTTGGGGATAATCAAGGGTGTGGTGCTCAGGCTCCAGTCACTATGGTGGTTGGTTCTGAGGGACCACCTGTACCTGGTAGATTTGGTGTATCACTCCCTGCTTGGTTGTTCTGCCATCTTTCACTTTTGTTGCCACTGTTGCCACTGCTCCTGATGAAGCAAGTGCAGGGGTGGTGGAAACATAATTAGGGGGTAGAAACAACATGTGCCTAGGTTGGATGTGGTAGATTGGAGGTGGCCTAGCAGAAAGGAAGAGGGCCTAGAGAGCAGCTGAGTTGCACTGCGGCTACTTAGGAGAGAGGTGCTTGTAGAGTTAGGCTATGCTCTGCTTACAGAACTGGAAGAGTTCACAGCTTCCCACAATGGTGCATTTGCTTATCATCTATCTTTTTGTGCCTGAAAGAAATTTTGATAGTTTATTAGAATAACTCATGCTTGGAATTAGATTGTTGTTGGGGATGGTTATAATATTTACAAGGTTTTTAATGGGCTGTCTGCTTTATTTTTCATAATACTGGTAGTGGTAGTAGTGGTGTGTCTGGTTGAATGTCAGCACTCTTTTTATGGCTCTTCAGATATTAGATGACATAAACTTAGAGCAGAAGGCAGCTGGGGGAAGACAGTTACACAGGAAATACAGAAAAGGAGGGAGAGAAAGTCTAATAAAGTGGGGCACAGACCCAGAGAAGATGATGTCAGCCAAGTTTCTATGAGGTGTACTGGACATACTCCGAGAGGGGAAGTTTTGTGTGTTGTGCTTGGAGTTGCTTGTCCTAAGTGCCTCTAATAATTTGGAATTTCACTGCAGTCTGATTTTTTTGAATGATTATCTCTATAAATCATGTTTTTTTTTTCCAGAATGAAGTGTTATATGAAATTTAACACTGAAGTTCTTATAGCTTAATTATTTTTTTTAAATATTTTTATTGGGGAATTGGGGGAATGGAAACATTGCTGGGGAATTGGGGGAAGGGGAACAGACAAGTTGCTGTC